AATTTTCATAAGAACAGGCTCAAAATGTAAGGGAGCAATCCAAGGAGGAGGATGATCAGAGCCTCAAAAAGTTCATGAGAGCAGAGAGGCCCTGTCCTCAAGTCCCCAGGTCAGCAGGAAGGACCACAAGCCCTGCAAACCCAAGTAGAGGGCCGGAATGCACAGGCCTCCAAAGAGACAGCCTGGCTGAATGGCTAATAGGAAAGAGCAATAGGAAGTAGTCATGGCAACGTCCATGACAGACAGACTCAGCTGAGGGGAAACATGCCAGGAAAGTCAGAAAGTTAGACAAGACAGGAAGTTAACCACAACAGACCACCTGGCCCTGTGGTGACCATGGAACCAAGTGCCCACCTGTGGTGACATACGGTGACAAACAGGTGCCTACCTGTTTTAGACATACAGAGTGGCCTATATTTCAAGGAGCTGATTCAAGGGAGCGGAGTTAGGAATTCATTTCTTTTACCTTTTAATGAAGAGTCTTGCTGTGTAACCCAGGCTGGCCTCAAACTGCTAGGATGACAGGTGTGTACCACCATGCCCAGTTACTAATTTCTCGAGAGAAACACACTTCCCAACGGGAATGGTTCTGCTCTGTGGCAGGAAATGAATTTGTAGGTATGATCTTCCATAAAAAGAATCTCCAGGCCTCCAGGGGCTCATCAGCAAGTGCTACCACACATTTCAAAAGCTGACACCAAGGCTGGGTGTAGTAGCACACGCCTTTAACCCCAGCACTGAGGAGGCAGAGACATGAGATCTCTGAGTTCGGGGCCAGCCTGGTTTACAGAGCAAGCTCCAGGACAGCCAGGGCTACATAGAGGAACCTTGTTTGAAACAGACAGACAGACAGACAGACAAACAAACAAACAAACAAACAAACACTGACACCAATTCTACCCAGTTTCTTCAAGGGACTGAAAAACTACAGGATTACATGAACTGAGGCAGGAAAAAAAAATGTGTTTCAAACTCAACATCTGTTGCTGGTCAGTACTCTGTGACACTGAGGCAGAATGAGGAGGACTCTCTGTCCACACCCATGGCAACCACACACCTAGAGCTAGCACCACACCTGGTGCTGGGAAGCACAGTGTTTTCTGGCGCCAGACTAAGATGTCCTCTCCCCTGTGAACCAGCACAGGAAGTTCTAAATGCAGGTGTCAAGCAACATCATCATCATCATCATCATTGTCTTCATCTTTACAATAAACAAGATACAAAGTCAACACAAAAAGCCCATTGCTTTGCTATCTACTAGAAATACACCATTTGAATCAGTGTGTGTGTGTGTGTGTGTGTGTGTGTGTGTGTGTGTGTGTGTGTGTGTGCGTGCACGCGGTTGTGTGTGTGCAAGGTACAAGGTTGACCTTGGGTGTCTTCCTTAGTCGCTCTCCATCCTATATATTGAGACAGGGTCTCTTGATGAACCTGGAGCATGCCACTTTGGCTCCTTTGGCTATCCGCTTACCCTGAAGATTCCCACCTCTCCCTCCCATGTGCTGAGGCCATCAGGGAGCCAGCCACCACACCCGCCCAGTGTTTATGGGCTCAGGGACCTGAATTTCTATCGTCACACTTACAAAGCAGCACTAGAGAAAAGAAAATTTATATTATGCAAAATTCTGTGTGAAGCTTTTGTGTGTGTGTGTGCGTATGTGTAAGTGTGTGTGGAGATCACCCAACCTTTTTTTGTTTGGTTGGTCTTGTTTTGTTTTTTGAGACAGGGTTTCTCTGTGTAACAGCCCTGGTTATCCTGAAATGTGCTTTGTAAATCAGGTTCGCCTCGAACTCACAGGGATCCTCCCGAGTGCTGGGATTAAAGGAGGGTGCCACCATGCCGGACTGATCATTCAGCCTAAAATGGCAACTGCTTTTACTTGCCGAGCCGGCTCCCTCCCCTGACCCATGATGCTCTGTTCATGATAGCCAAAATCTAGAAATGACACCACGGATGTTGTTCTATAGGTGAACCCATGAAATGTGTTCATCCCTAAACTGGACAGTATTTGCCAATACAATGACACCAAACTGGTTTGGACCAGTGTTTTATCACAGCCATAGATGGCAAACCAGAACACCACCATTTCATACAGCCATGCTTTCACCACATACACACATGGTGACACACAGTTATGTACTTTGACGTATGTACACACATTCATACACACATATCTCCACTCATGCACACACATATACCCACCACCATACATACACACAACCGTGCATTCATATACACACAGAATAACACACGCTTCCTCACATGCTCTGACATATGCAAACACTCATTCATCTTTATCACACACAAGGCAATTGTGAATTCACAGACATATTCATGCACTTACACACTCACACAGATACACACCTATAATGTCACTCTTAGATGTCACAAAAGACAGCAAAATGAGAACATTTGCAGACAAAGAGGAACCCTGGACAGGGCTTCTCCATAGGAGCTCACACTGTCTCCACTTGGTGGCCCTCTGGCTTCTGCTGGTGACATCCCTTGCCCATCTTAGCCAATCTCCTCCATTAAAGAGGTGATCCTGTGGGTAAGTTCCGTTCTTTCTGCTTGCCGGCAGGTCTCATCGCTGGATCTGAGAGCCTCGGGGTTTATACTGTCAGGTAGACTCCAAGTACACCATGTCACTTTAGTTTCTAAGTCCCATACTGAGTCCACTGTGAATTCTCAACCTGACCTCAACCTCTTCTGAGCTGTAACTGACTCCACACTGTGACTCTGAGAGCTGGGCTTGCTCTGGGTCTCAGGCATCTTCACTGTAAGAATCACGAGGGATGTCTTTAAAAACAGCCCTACCTGAGATACAACCTGGACCACCCAAACTTTGAAGCTGCCTTTGGAGGTAAGGCTGCTATCAGGGCTTCTAGAAGTCCCTTGGGTCATGTTATGCACAGCCAAGATCTACCCAGAGACTGCCTGGCACTGGCCAGTGTTGATTTGCCCTTCAGGAGACCAAGGTAGGAAAAAAAAAAAAAAAACCCAGATGCAGGGAGGAATCTATGTAGAGCAGGGGGCCAGGAAGCCTCTGCAAAGATGTGCTTATCAGAGCACAGATCTGAAAGATGAGAAGGAACCAGGTAACACGGAGACTTCCTGTGGTTCATTCCTTGGGTTTGCCCAGCCTGGAGCATGAAGGCCAAGGTAGCTCCAACTTAGTCAATTTCACTAGAACCTCCTCCCCGCACCCCACCCCCCCAGAAAGGGTTTGTCTGGGTAACAGCCCTGGCTGTCCTGAACTTACTCTGTAGACCAGGCTGGCCTCGAACTCGAGATCTGCCTGCCTCTGCCTCCTGGGTGCTGGGATTAAAGGCATGTGCCACCACCGCCCATCTTAATTTCACTAGAACTTTGAAACAGACATCTATGGCTGATCCTTTTTGCTTCCTTTGACTTCACCTGCAGCAGGTGTTTTGCCGATAAAGAAGGCAATACTGAGCAGTAAGGGCACGAGAAAAGCTGGCCTGGGCAGGGCAGGGATTAGATCTCAGTAACTCGGGAACATGTCCCCGCTGAGGCAAGCTCCGTGCCGCCTCTGCACCAGATTCACCAGTTGCCCTGATCCCACTATTTCCCATGTAATCTGTGACAGATGCCCACCCGATTACAAAGCCTGCTGAGACCAGGAGATGGTGGATCTCTGGAACATCTCCTCTCACGTCCTGCCCCTTTGCAGCCTGGGCTGGAGAAGCCCATTAGAGATGTATCTTCTGTGCTTCTGGCATTGGGCATGGGATGAAGGTTTAGTTTGGTTTTGTAATCTGCAAAACTGGGGCGATCCCATTGCTCTTGTGGGTGGGTTCACTGTAGCCCCAGGCTGGGCCTCTGCCATTTGGCTGTTCAGCTGCTTCCTGTGACGCCCACTCATTACCTTCTTCTGCATGAACATGAGCAGGTCTGATCTAAACCAAATTCTTCAGGCCTGGAAACTCTTGCTGCACCCCAGGGGGCTTCTCAGTAACCCTGGGGCAAGCTTGCCTGTGCCCAGCGATTTAGCTCCAAGACATGCAGTGTGGACAAGGATCAGGAGGTCAGACAGAATTCCTAGCACTCCCCCGGACTGTGTGGCCTTATAGAAGGCTCGGAAGAGCAGCAAGGATCTTGATATGCAGCAGGCACCCAGCATCCCTCCACATCCTACAGCTGTTTATGATGCTGTTGGCATGGTTGGGGAAGCTGGCGGCCTGCTTCTCCGCCAGGACTTTCACAGGGGTAAAGAGGACTGCTCTGGCTACTGGAACCAGCAACCTGGCAATACCAAGTCCCTAAAATGAATTTTCATTTACATTTTTAATTGTAAAAATCAGTTTCCAATGGTTAATGTAAAAAAGAAAGAAAGGAAGGAAGGAAGGAAGGAAGGAAGGAAGGAAGGAAGGAAGGAAGAGAGAAAGAAAGAAGAAGAATCTGATCAAGGAATTAAATCCAGTTGGATTCGGACACATAAATGACAAAAAAGAAAAAAGAAAGAAAAGAAAGGAAAAACTGCGCTGCCCATATGAATAAGAAAATGTAATTGCAACTCTAAGGCCTCAGGTGCTCAGAATAAGACCACCTGAGGAGCCTCCAGGGCAATACTAAGAAGTTCTGAGAACGATTAAGGTGTGGTGGCAGCAAGACTATTTCAGTTAGAAATGTAAATGCTGAGTTTGGAGGGCGAGAACATTCTCTAACAGAATTGGGCGGCCAGGTGTTCTCACCGAGACCCACAAAAGACCAATGACTCACAAGTCCCAGGGCAACTTTCCGCTGCCGGCGATTCCCACGCGGAGCCGCCTTCCCCTGCTGGGCGGCAGCAGCCCAGATCCTCCCGGGTCGCGATGACAGATGGGGGACCCCACTCCTCTCTCCAACAAACGAACCCCAGCCCGAGATTCCGCTTCAAGCCCTCAACTGCAGCGCATGAGTGGAACGTAGCATGTCCCAGCCTCGGCGTTACCTCCTCGGGAAGCGGGACCCCGGGAGGGGCAGCGGGGACACTGACCTGGGAAGCCCGCGCTCCGGGGCGGGCGAGGAGCAGCAGGAGAAGGACGAGCGCGCGCGGAGAGCCGGGCCCCATCTTGCCCAGCACAGCCTGGCTGCTGGGGAAGGCAGGTCGCTGTTCCCTGGCCGACCCTGAGTCCCCGCGATGCGCGGGTCTCTTGCAGCTCCGGCGGCCACCAGCGTCCGCAGCCGCCTGCACGAGACCGTCCGGGCGACGCGGGGAGGCGCCAGCCCCGTGGCGGAGGCCGAGAGAGGAGGGGCTGCAGAGCCTGGAATGCGCCTGGGAGCGCGCCCAAGCCGCGACTCCGGGAGGAGGCCGGGCGCCACCAAGGGTGGCCGGTGCCCACCCTGGACTGCCCTACTGCCCACGGCCCCCACTTCCCGCCGGGAGCGACCCAGGCTTCCGCCAGCCACACGTGGCTAGTTGATGAGCCAAACTTAGGTCTGTCCTACCTCAAAGCCCACACGATTACACCTTCCTCCAGGACAGCAGAGCACAAGGCTAGTGTGGCGGGAAGAGGGGTTTCATAAACTTGGCCTAGGATAGAACATGTCTTCTTAAACTTTGGGCCGAAATATGCAAGTTGAGTTGCTGAATTTGGCAACTGGTAAAAGCACAAGACCAAAAATTAATTCAGAATCAAATATAATGAACCCAAGGTGTCCCTGGTCTCCACAAGTGGTGCTGGTCAGTTGTCCCTGGGCACCACACGAATGAACCTGACCTAAGACACTTGGCTCAGATCCGAGACTATTTCTGTTATGAAGTGAAGTGGTTTTACTGTACGTAACTAAATTTTCTGCCACTTTGTACTACATATTTATGTGAGGTGGTGTGCTTGGTGTGACAATTACAATATCAAACTATCAATCAATTTGGAAAAAAATGTCAAAAATGCATCTCTTTCTTTAATATCAGATATTCAGACAAGATTTAGTTCTTCATGTGAAAGAAATAAGCACACCAAATTTCCTTTTTTTTGTTTGTTTGGTTTGTTTTTTGGTTTTTTTGTTTTTTGGTTTTTTTTTTTTTTTTGAGACAGGGTTTCTCTGTGTAGCTTTGCGCCTTTTCCGGGATCTTGCTCTGTAGACCAGGCTGGCCTCGAACTCACAAAGATCCACCTGCCTCTGCCTCCCGAGTGCTGGGATTAAAGGCGTGTGCCACCACCACCCGGCTACAAAGAATTACTTTAAAATAAGCTTAAAATTTTCAAAACTAGTGCTCCCCATGGTTTTAGGAGCACGCATGCCTAGTGACTAAGAATCTCCAGCCTGCCTTCTAGCGTGCAGTCTGTTTCCCAAGAGTTTCAGGTAGAGGCCCAGTAACAGAACCTCACTAAGGTCTGGTAGGTCACAGCCATGGGATGGACAGGCACAAAACTGAAGTCTCTGCACCCAGGCTGTGGGTGAGCCAGGTGCTTCAGACCTCTACCCATGGAAAATGTAACTTAGCTCTCCCTGGAAGAACGTTTTGTGTAGCTCACTCTGATTGCACAGAATGGTTCTGAAGCCCACAGTCCCTGACCTGGAGCTGTTTTCAATAGAAATAGAAAGGCAAGCCAGGTGTCCTCTCTCGGCCTGTGAGGGCTGCTATAACCAAGTATCACTGACTAGGCAGTGTATAACAATACAAACGTGTTCCTTGAGACTCAGAGCTAGAAAGTCAAGACCCAGGTATTTATTGGAAGATTTGGTGGTGATGAGGGCTTACTTCATCCTCACTTGTGGGAACAGGCAGGGGAGCTCTTTGAAGCCTCTTTTTTTTGGGGGGGGGGCAGGTGTATGTGGGGGTTTCAAGACAGGGTTTCTCTGGGTAGCTCTGGCTGCCCTAGAACTTGTTCTGTAGACCAGTCTGGCCTCGAACTCAGTTTCACCTGCCCCTATCTCCTGAGTGCTGGGATTAAAGGCATGTGTCATCCCCACCCTACATAAGGCCTCTTTTGTAACAACATGATAGTGATCTAATTCAGAAATATCCTAAGGCCACATCTCCTAATACTACCACACCAAGAAGGGAGTTCAAAACGCAACCATAGCCAGTTCCCTGGAAAGCATGGAGCATGGGGCATTGGGCATGGGGCCTGGGGACCACCCAAGCTTTGGCTGCCCAACAAATCCCACTGAACCGTTTCCTCTGGCTCCCTGAAGCAGAGCAAAGTCCACATGCTTGTGCTTTGAAAGTCTTGCAGAGAGACCTAGTCAGAACACAGCTTGTCACTGTCCAGGTGGAGAGGAAAGGACAGCAGCCACACCAGGGTAGCACATAGAGATGATGGGTTTCTGTGTCCGTCTCCAATGTGTCTGCTGTCCATGAGAGAACTACTGGTTTCCTGGCCGCGCTTACCTCCTATGAATGAAAGGTTTCATTCTGCTTGGAGTGGCTATTTGAGTTTTATCCTACCCTGTATTTACACGGCAACCTCCAAGCACTCTTAGCTGGTTCTGGTTGCATACTGGACACTAGAGGCTGGACAGATGTAAGCAAGCCCTCTTTTCTCTCCTGTTACCCTCTTCTCAGAATCATCAAACAGACCAGATCTCACAGAGGAAGAGAATGAAACAAAGTATCTGGTGGTTAATCTCCTTTGTCAGCTTGATGAGGTTTGAAATCACCTAGGAGACACACCTCTAGGCATGTCAAAGAGTGTGTTCCCAGAGAGGTTAAATTAGGAGAGAAGACCCAGTCTGAATGTGGGGGCGGCACCATCCCCTGGGCTGGGGGCCCCGACTGAGGAAGAGTGGAGAAAGCAGAAGCCAGATGAACTGCATCCTTCTCGATGCTACACTCAACCCATGAGCCTGAAGATGCTTCCTCTTTCAGTTGCCTCTTGTTATAGTAAAAGGCAAATAAAAGACAGCATGGTTGGTGACCAGCCTGGGGAATGCAGGTTCAATTCTAAATGTCCCCTCTCAGAAAAGTGCTTCCAGGACATTCCATCTTGACCTAATCCTCTCTCTCTCTCTCTCTCTCTCTCTCTCTCTCTCTCTCTCTCTCTCTCTCTTTTAAAAGAAAACTTTTTTTAAAAGATTTATTTCTTTATTATATATACACAGTGTTCTGTCTGCAGGCCAGAAGAAGGTGCCAGATCACATTACAGATGCTTGTGAGCCACCATGTGGTTGCTGGGAATTGAACTCAGGACCTCTGGAAGAGTAGCCAGGGCTCTTAACCTCTGAGCCATCTCTCCAGCCCCCCTAATCCTCTCTTTACTTTGAGGAATCTCAGGACTTCGGCAATTTTACTTAAAGTGACACAGATGCCCCTTGGGTTTGTCGACGTTTTTGCTTTTCTAATGTTTCTAAAAGTCAACAGGAACTTTTGCTTTTTTGTTGTCCCTATTTTCTAACTTCTATTTGGGACCTTTGTCCTGTGGCTGACTCCCTTTAGTGCTCAGGGTTCATCAGAATCAGTTTTCTGAGGTCTGGCTGCCTTTCTCTCTGTGTCCTTAGGCAGTAACCAAAGCAGATGCCCCACCAGCAGAACTTGCCAAGGCTATCTCAAAAGTGGCTAGAGCAATGCTCAGTGGTTTAGAGCACTTGCTGCTCTTGCAGAGGACCTGGGTTCAGTTCCCACTGCCCACGTGATAGCTCACAACCATCCCTCCTTCCAGTTCCAGGGGATTCAACATCCTTTTTTGGTCTTTGCAGCACCTGGCATGCATGTGGTACACATATATACATTCAGGTGAAACACTCATATACAGAAAAAAAAATCTAAAAAGGCGATGGCTCTGAAAATAAGCTCTTCAGTTAGGGCTTCCCTCTGGCCTGATAAATGGTCCTACCAGCTGGTTTGCTCTCTCTGTTTCCTCTCTATTGAGGAAACTGGTGGGCTGTTTTGGAACCAGTGAGATGGCTTGGCAGACAAAGGTTCTTGTCACTGAGGCTGATGACCTGAGTTTGATCCTTTGAATCTACACAGGACAGAACCAAATTCCACAGGTTATTCCCCGCCCTACCCATGAATGCCATCATGTTTGAGAGAGTGCATAATAAATAAATAAAATGAATATGATTTTTTTTTTTTTTTGGTTTTTCGAGACAGGGTTTCTCTCTGTAGCTTTGGAGCCTGTCCTGGACTTGCTCTGTAGACCAGGCTGGCCTCGAACTCACAGAGATCCACCTACCTCTGCCTCCTGAGTGCTGGAATTACAGGTGTGCGCCACCACCGCCCGGCGAATATGATTTTTTTAATGAGAGAAAGGGCTCGAGGGGCTAAGGGTACAGCGCAGTCGGTAGGGTACTTGACTAACACTGAGGACCCGGGTTAGCTCCCCAGCACCGCACAAGCCAGGTGTGGAGTGCACACCTATAAAACCAGCACTTGGAGGTGAAAGTAAGAAGATCTAAAGTTCAAGGACATCCTCAGCTACATAGTGAGTTTGAGGCCAGCCTGGGCTACATAGGCTATGCTGGAATGTCCTTGGTTTCCTGTGTGATATGGGAAGGCAAAGAAAGAAGAAGGAGGTTGGATTTTAATTTTTATTAATATTCTCTCTCTCTGTCTTATTGGTGAAATTATTAAGGCCACTCCACGTAGTTAAAAGGACGCCAGCCCGGCTAGCTCAGTCGGTAGAGCATGAGACTCTTAATCTCAGGGTCGTGGGTTCGAGCCCCACGTTGGGCGCCAGATATTGGTGAAATTATTAAGGCCACTCCACGTAGTTAAAAGGAGATTTATTTAATGGCGTAACTTACAAATTAAGGAATAGGTAGGTCGCGGAGTCTGGGGAAGGTGTATCACAGTCCAGCGGTGTTCTCTGGAGCTCTGCTCAGTCCACCTCTCCAGTCCAGGGGTCCCGCAACAGAGAGAGAGCCTGCCGATCCAGATCTCAGGTCCCCAGGCGCCTCCCTTGGCCCCGCCTTGTAGGCGTGACATTGCCGAAGTCTCAATGGGGGTTGGAACTTCCAGATCAAAGCTGGAATGGCTACCCACTACACTGTCTCTGTCTCTCTGTCTCTGTCTCTCTCTCTCAAAGACAACCTCCTGTGTCATTCTTCAGGCACTGTACACCTTTTTCTTTGGAGACAGGATCTCTCACTGGCCTGGAATTTGCCAAATAAGCTAGGCTGGCTGGCCCCAGGATCCCCCTGTCTTTGCCTCCGAAACACTGGGATTAGAAGTGTGCCCCGCCACGCCCTGGCTTATATATATGGGTTCTGGGGCTCGAACTCAGGCCCTCATGCTTACAAGGTAAAGCATTTTACTGCACAAACCATCCCCTCAGCATTTAAACTTCATTTATTTATAGCTGATAGGCTCTTACTAGGTAA